AATTCCGAACTCGCGTTATCTTGCCCTTATTGAAATATGATGGTCCGAACTGGACGACCTCCGAGGTCGGTGTCAACACTATTAATATTGCAATACTTGTGACATGACAAAGCATCCACAGCTTGATAGGAAAAAGGGGAATGTACTATCATATGCTGTTTCAAAGGAATAATACTTGATGATATCCATAAACAGTCGTACATTTGAAAATATCAAGCCAGACATATTTAAATGATGTAGAGGATGATTCACACAATATATCAGGCAAACATTATCTAAATAACAAGCAAATATTATTTGCAGCGGCCTTCTCCTCTGAAAGTAGATGTTTCTATACAATTCAAGTACCTATTGACCAATACATGATTCAATAAGCATGGAAGTTTGAAGAAAACTTACAAATATCTGAGAGGAGTCAAAAATGAAAAGAGATCATCTGAAGTTCTCAAAAGGATAACCGACTTTCTAAAGAAGGATATTACACGTGAGTTAATGAACAATTGTACAGAAGAACTTTGTTGTCTTGTTTTGTATCTTATTTTTGCCATACATGTAGTATTCTTTCAAGATGTTAAAACAAATTAAGATTAAGTTGCATCACCGGTATAACATTCCAAATGGCATTCAACAACACAGGTATAATTCAGCGTTTTAAAATAGCAAGTGATTCATCAAACACCATTTAAAAGTAAGCCACAAAGAAAGTTTCAATTTTGCAACTTACAGTCTTGCGCTAGAAGACCCTTTTCGTGCACAGTACCTCCTGCCATCGTCAAAGTAAAGATATACAAGTTTTAAATAGAAAAGACTGCATCGAATGTGTTAGTATCTATGTGCAGAATAACTAAACCCAAAATAAACACATAACTGGCATACCCCAATTTTGTAGCCTCCGATTTTTCAAAGATTTCCACTTGGAAATCGGAGCTTGATAAATCTGCAAATAAATAAAAAAAAGGGTAGCCAGAAAATTCCAATCCCGGGAGAGAAAAGACAAAACAAAATTCCATCCTAGTCTTTTTACATTATTCAAGAGCTGGTCTTCTTCCGCAGCAGCGATGTAGTCGGGAATGTAAAAAATGGTTGGCACAGACCCAACAATGAAGTTATTTAGATACTCTCTTGCTGGAGTACCTTCCATCGCTCAACTTTGAATTCTAACAAGTTGAAATTTGAAAACGGGGTATTTCACTTTGATCCCTTCGAGGGTTTATGTTTGCTTTAACCCAATAGATAAAAATATATTGTATAGTACGGTATATATCTATCTGTAAGTATTCAAGGGAGGGATGGGCGGTTGACGTGGCATTTTGCAACTGGTGCTATAGAATTAAAGGAATTTTATAGGAATACTAAAACGTTTTGTAAAGGATAAGATACTTTTTGTTTTTGAGTATTTCTTTCCTTAACAGATGACCTTCAAGTAAAAAACTGTTGCAGTGTGTGGTATCAGGCATGTCAAACGCCGTAGTAAATGGGCTGGCTGGAGCCGGCGGAGGTATCGTAGCCCAAATAATTACTTACCCGCTCCAAACGGTAATTTTGGCTCTCCCATCACATGTTTTATGTGGCTTTGCTCAAGTGATAATTTGATTGTTTTGTGGGCATATACTTCAGTAATTTAGTGTGTTCTATATTTTTAGGTCAGCCAGTAGTACAGGAGTTTCCTTTTTTATTTGGTCTAAAGATCCCTCGAGTATTTTAGTATTTGATGGAGGTCATTAATGGGATAACACGGGTAATTACTTGGCCACCATAATTTTAATACATCAAGGAGCTCTGCACACGCTTGCAGGTTAATACTCGCCAGCAAACAGAAAGATTTGCTAAGAAAGATTCCACTTCGACTCCTACCACCAGCCCTGCCAGCGGTACGCTTGTTCAAATTTTCCAGGTACTTCCATTGATCTTTTGCTTCCCTTTTATGTGCGGATCAAATTTTCTGCTTGTCGCTTGAACTATTTTTAGTTGACAGGTTATCAAAAGCGAGGGCTTGGGAGGACTTTACAGCGGCCTCAAGCCTTCTCTACTTGGCACTGCTGCTTCGCAGGTGGGATCTTTTTCTTCTTTTTCCCTTGTTTGATTGAGTAAATCAAATTTTTGCAAGTTCTGGCGCGTCTTTAATTGGGCCTTCCACAATCTATAGGCCATGTCATTTAGTGCTCGATAGGATTTTCTGTAGAACTTTGAAACAATTTCCAAGTCAAATTGTTGCTATTAGTTTGCTTATCACAAGACCTGACACAACATCGGTTCCATGTAGAAATGTTTCTGGTAGATTCTGTTCTTCTATAAGCACTAACAAATGTGGTGCTGGAAACAATCCAAATAAAACATTGTCAAGCCCGTCTAATAATTTCTTTCATGATACTGCCAGGGTATCTACTATTATTTTTACCAGGCTTTCAAAAACAAAGCAGAGGCTATTGCAGCGGCAAATAGAAAAAAAGGACATGGGGATGGTTCTCCAGGAATGCTTTCTTGGCTTCTTGTGGCAGCTCTTGCTGGGTAGTTTCCATCGTTTCCATCTACTATTTATTGATACTTTACATTTTAGCTGTTCTTTTTCTGCATAAAGCTCAAAAACCAAGCTATGCTCTCAGGCAGGATGACTGTTCCTGGTCTAATATCTGAATGCAATATGTATATTGCAGGTCACTAAATGTACTGCTGACAAACCCAATATGGGTTCTTGTGACTCGTATGCAGGTAGGAACAATATTAAATTGTGTATGTGGCACTATACGTTGTTAAAGAAACTTCCTAAGAAATTTATTTCTATATTGTATAGGTCAATAAGTTTTCATTCATTTGTTTTAAAAATTGTAATTATATTGTTCCAGTAAAGAAAACAGTCCATTATTATGTTCTTCACTGAGAATCATATTGCTTGTCAATTATTTATTTACTTTTCAATTCTAGAAGAAATAATTGTCATGGCTATTTCGGATGTTCTATCATTCTTTTGGTGTAAGGCTTGCTAAGCATAGAATATCTCTACCCAGTGCATTAGTGAATTTTGAGTTGTTGGGTCTGCTAAACCACTACTTTTGAAGTTAGTCTTTTTCACTAATGGTGCTCAATTCTCACCTTGAGAGAAGATCATGAATGATTTGTTATGTTTTGTGACTCATTATGGCATTAAGAGCCTTCCAGTGAGAATCCAAGAGAAAAATCCCATGAAACTTATTTAAAATCCCTCAAAACCTTTAAATAGATTTCAGATCAATTGCGCAACTATACTTTAGTATTTTTTCTTCATAAATCAGAATTCTGAAAATTTAGGGTCTATGCTAGAATTTCTTGGCTGCTAGGTTCTAAAGGTTTTAAATTTCATTTATTGGCCAAAGGGTTGGATAATGGAGTAGGGATGAACCTAATATCATCCAGCAGGTTTATTGGGACTGCTCATGGTGTCTGTTACATAGTCCAAGTAATATGTGTTGGTTGCAAAATAAACAAAAATGACTCTGCAGGTGATTGACTAGTGTAAAAAATATTTTGGCCCTAGAAGAATATATTTGTCGAGGACTGCCAGCAAAAAAATGTACTGTTTCTCTCAGCATAACTCGACTTGTTAGTTAAGTTCTGAATATCCAACCTGTTTTGCAGTTTTGTGGTAACTATTTGATCAATAGCAAGTAATAAATCACTTCGGTGTGTGGTTTAAGTAGACTCCCTTTACACAAGGATCAGAAACAATTCTAGACGATTTTTGAGAGAGGATTCAGAGTGGATCCAACAAGAATATGGTGTCAAGATTCATTCAATTAACTAAATTAGGATTGTCAAATAGGATAGTCATCAATGTAATTCTGGCCTTCAAGTTTGCATAAAAAAAAACAAAATAATAATAATAAAAGTAAGAAGATGTTTGCCATAATTGCTGTTGAAACAAAACAAATTTGCCATAATTTCTGTTGAAACAAAACAACTTTCATAAGATATGTGACTTAGGACTTCTAAAATGTAGGCATATCAATATCATAAATGGTATGAATTTTAGCACTATAAACACCAAGATATCTAGTACAACAATGTTGTACTAGTTTCATCTCCTGGAAATTAATTATGGGCTCTTCTGACAAATTTATGAACATAATTGTTGGCTATCTCCATCTCAAGCTATACTTGCGAATAATGCATCTTTGCACACTAAATTTTGCTTTTATATTGTAATATTGTTGGAAATGTATTTACTAAAGAATTCACATTGAAGTACTATAAAAGATGTTCTTTTTCAGTAATTGAAAACAGATGCCATGAGTCAATATAACCATAAATATAATAGCATGACACATTCTGATTTCAATCACTTTTATTTTCAGCAGCAATAACTGCTGCTGAACTGCTTCTATGTTAGTTCTGAAAAAAAGTTCTTTCAGTTGATTGTATAATCTGTGCAGTTATAGAAAGATGAAAGTCTTAAGCATATAATGTGTGACATTTTACATTTTCACTTTCAGACACAAACTCAAGCGGAACGAAAAATTGTGGAGGCAAAAAGGGAAGCTCTATTAAAGGAAGCTTCAGAAAATGTTCTGACTCATTCTTCTTTGCAAGACCAGCTGGCATCACTAGATTCAATAAAGCCTCGCCCATATGGGACATTTCAAGCGGTGAATACTATTTTGTCTTCTTCTCTTTTCTTCAAATTCAGAGATTTCATATTCATAATTTTTTTTGTCCTCTACCATTATTTCATTTTTACTTGTAGGTGAACACCTGTATTTTTCTATGCCCTGTTTAATCATGTTTTTGGATTATATCTGCCATGGTTTCTGCAATCAAATTGCTTATAATTTCATGAATGAAGTATTTCACAGGTTGCGTGCTGTTTCTTACATATGAGTGGTGGATCAGGATGGGTTGCACCATCAGTTGAACCTATTTCAATCAATTTCCCAAAAATAATTTATTTCCTTTTCTTGTATCAATAAGGAGAAAAGTAGGCCGTAGTAAATGAAATCTAGTGTTTGAAGAACAATTTCACCTATGATAAGGTTGATTTCATATATAACAGCATAGTAATATTTTAAGTGAAAAACGTAGAAGCAACCTACAAAAAGCCAACCTTAAATCACAAGGCAGTCTACCTAGATCATGTGATTTTGTAATAGTTTATCAATATGGACTAGGTGGAACACATTTTTCCACATTCAAAAGATCAGGTTTAACTGCTAAGCAAACACTAAAATCAATATGAATGAGACTTCTACTACCTGCCATACCCTGACTTTAGTACTACACAAGCATTCAACAAATACATCAAAGCCATGAACAAAAATTGAAATGCGAGTAGAATTGACCCGATGACCCCTAAGGCTCAGCTTTATTCTCATGTTTAGAGCACTTGACCAAAAACCAATTGGCAATATGTAGAGAGGCTGCATAGATTCATATACTAGTTCTAGAGATTACAGTCAAACAGTCAATTCCTCTTTTTTCTTTGCTGCTTATTAAATGTGAAAAGTTCAATTTAGCATAAAAGGGAGAAATGATCTGTGGATCATTGATGCTTTTCAAGTTATTGAACCATATATTGATGATCACACTAGGTTTGCAAGAGGAATACCATTAAGTTCTTGCAGAGCTGAATGTGAACTATTTAGAAGGATTGATTCCTTTTGTAGCTCTCTGAATATATGAATATAACAAAATTCACTTCTTAACATTTTGAATACAATAACATAACATGCTTAGTGTCTAAAACTATTGACAAAAACTTACTCATTATGATGTGTTTTCATCAGATCAATATTGACATTTAGTCCAAGAAGAATTAATTAATCCTACATCTTTGAAATTCATCAATTGATATTATCTCCGTTGTGTCACTAAAAATTCCATTTCCTTTTAACAACAATTTTACCTATATTTGCATGTCATTAGTAGGCATGCGAAGTTTATAATGAATCAGGAATAACTGGATTCTGGAAAGGCATTGTTCCAACCCTAATCATGGTAAGCTTTTCATTTTGATTTTGAAAATTAACTTTAAATTTGAGTTGATATTCTTTTAATTTTATGTAGTATTTGACATGCCAGGTCTGCAACCCATCAATACAGTTCATGATTTATGAGACTTCATTGAAGTATCTCAGGGCTAAGCGAGCTACTAGGAAGCAACTTCTGAAGGATATAACTGCTTTGGAGGTATCACTACTGAGATGTTACCTATCTTCTTAATTAGTAGGTTGGATTCATTATTTTTCTCTTACGGAATTCTCGGGGTGCTGAAATTTTTGGAAGTTCAGGTAACCCTTCTAGAAAAGGTGTAAGGAATCCAAGTTCTCCTTAGTTGTTTAGTAATTATCTCATGATTTTATCATTTTCTGCAATATTGGCTTTGGGTATTTTTGTCTTTATCAAGAAAGTTGCATTTACTTTTCAAATGTAATGGTTGTGATATCCGTGCCCTTATAAGAACATGCTATGTTCGACTCTAGAACTCATTACATTTACATGCACAGATTTTTTTACTGGGGGCCTTGGCAAAACTTGGAGCTACTGTGTCTACATACCCCTTGTTGGTTGTTAAGGTAAATTCATTTGGTTTGTCTAGGACAACTGACCCGTTGTCAATGTATTTAATGTATGATAGACTTAGTGATGAGACTTCAGTCAAGGAGATAAAGCCATGTGGTTCTGATCCAACGATCACCACGTCGATCAGAATTCTATAAATATGTGGTCTTTGTAAATTGTAAAGGATAGTCTTTTGAATATTGATTCGAATATACAAGAATACACTTAAGAAAAATACTCTCAAATACACCCTTGCTTGTTCTGCATTTGTTAAGTTTGATCTTACGTTATGACACTTTGTTGGTTATTGTTTGTTAGTGCAATCATCTTAGTCACTATCGCTGGTGCTTGAACATTTTTGTCTCGGGCCGTAAAGCATCTCCCGTGTTCACGCACTCCCCCTTCTTTGTCCGGTTCTCCTGTCAAAACGCACCGGAACTTGCTTGAGTTGGCATGAGTGGACCCGGCATCTATTGTCCACGTTGACAACACACTATAGTATTCTCATGAAACTGCTAGAATGTGATACCTAATAGAAGCTAGGAGAGTTAATTCAAATAAACAATGGTAGGTTAATTACCATAAAATATGATTTGACACACTACTTTACAACAACATATCATGCAATACAAAGATGATTCAATTTTCAAAATATATTTGATTCTTTTGAATATAATTGTGCTGATATGATATCATTTTATTAGAATTACAAACATACCAAATTTCTTATATTATCCGCCATATCAAACTAAATATAAATCTAGCATCAATTGTTGTTCTGATGAAGCATAATATATCAATGTCAAGAACACGGGTAATACTACTAGCAGTCTAAACTGATAAAGTTCTATGGAACTGAAGGGTACTAGATATAGGTATTTATGCATAAATTCAACTGGGTGCAGAGGAATTGGGTTAAATAAAAATTCGGTAAGTATTGTATGACATTTCTTGATAAAGTATACTTGATTGTTTTACAACAAAAAAAATTTCTTCTTGTAAATATATTGTGGATATTATGCAGTCAAGACTTCAAGCAAAGCAAGAGATTGGTGGAAATATCCTGCTAAGATATTCAGGTACATAAAGAGTTTGATTATATTATAAATCTTATCATGGATGTTTGTTGTTAGATAGCCCTTGGTGTTTTTTCATATTAATTGTAGTTTGGGCTTAACTTTATAATTGTTATTTGATATGCTTCCCTTTGAAGATGAATTTTAATTTGTCTTTCAAATGTATGTTGAGAAAAGTCTTCATGTTTCTTAACAGTAGTGACTAGTGAAATGTAAACTTCCTAAACAATAAAGTCATGAGTATAATTCTTATAGCAAACACTTTGTGAACTATGTCAAAAGTGAGATCCATTACCCTATCCAGAGAGAGACAATGTTAGAATTTGGGTATGACCCAAATTCCTTATTGAAATAATTAAAGAATTCTAATTGAAGTGCACGTCAAGAAGAATTCGGTTTGAAATGCTATTGGAATCTTATTCAAGTAGAAATTCTATTTAGAAGCCCTATTGGGAGTTGGAATTTGTATTAGACTTGAAAATGTTGAAATTATGGATCGGGAAGAAAATTCGTCGTATTATTACTAGCTGGCCGCTCGAGTAACACCTCCAGCTTTTCTCCCGAGACTTGGTAGCTCGCCTGGCGCTCAAGCGATGGACCTGTAGCTGCAAGCCTGCAACTCGTAGCATTAGCAGGCTCTTTTCCACCTTAAAGGGCTCACACATATTTTTAGTGGTTTCACTAAAGAATGCTTATGTGCTCTTACAGTTCTTGCTTTGCATCACCACGTGACTTTATCCACAGCAATCTCCTGTTTTTAACGTCTTATGTTTCTCCAAAATCTTTACATCTCAACCAAAGTCTGAGAGGAAGTGGAGGGAGGTATTAAGTTTCTTGGAAGCATTAAGATCTCCTGATGGTTTGATTAATTTCGTTCTTAACACAGGTACACTAGATGCCATTGTTAAGATGATCCACTACGAAGGGCTTGGCTGCTTCTACAAAGGGATGAGCACAAAGATAGTACAGAGTGTCTTTGCAGCGTCTGTACTTTTCATGATAAAGGAGGAGCTTGTTAAGGCCCATTCATTAGTAACAAATAAAAGCCAGAAGATTTCATTGAACATAGTGAAATAATATTTTTTGAAGAATAAATTTACATGGATGTCTTGTATGTCGACTTAAACGAACTACTTGTTATCTCAGCAAGTCATGTATTCTTGTAGAACTTGAAATTTAAAGACGTCATGTTCCAAATTGTATTTGGCTCGGAAGCCATTCACATTTGTGAAATGTCTATCCAACCAATTGATAGAAAACCAGCATGTCCTTCTGTTCCCAAAAAAGTTGACTGTTGACTTGCTGTCTTCTAAGAAATTCTTGGGCATATTAAACCTTGTTGACAATTGTGGCTATGCCATCGTGTCTCGGTCTGGACCATGGCACATGCACAAGACATGCTTCAGCTTGCTGTGTGATGCTGATGGGACAATGTTCTTTGAGGCTCTCTCACGCCCGAATATTCCAGTTTTGGTGAAGCAGAATATTGTTTTTTAAATCCTTTGGGACTCTGGAGACGATACAAGATTTTGGAAGTTTTTTCCTCTGTATTTTTTGATTATTTAATGGGGGCATGCCCTTTTGAGATTTTATTCAACTGATAAATTAATAAAATTACAATTTTATATGTAAGAGCCTAGGAGGTACTTCAGCTTGATGTGCCCCTATCTTGTGTAAATAAGGTAGTCGTGGCATTTCGGAGGCGTAATGCGAACTTCTTGGACATGCTTGCTAAGATAGAGGTAAACTAACTTTTAATTCAAACACTCGCTTGTCTTTAAAGTATTTTTACTTTTAAAAAATTAGCTATGCTTTCCTTTTAATATCAGCTATCTTCTTGAGTTTCAGCATGTGCAATCTTAAGCAACCAGAACTCCAGATTGCATCTACTTTCATGGAACAAAAATTCTTATTCATCAAATGACAAGGTCAATCAACCAGTGTAATTAAAACAGTATTTGTTCAAAAATATCCAAGTTGCCCAAGCTAAAGTATGCCGCTCAAATTTATTGACTTTGCTAACCAAATTTTTGCCATTTTTTCATCAATGTGGTACGTACAGTGATTTCAAGGACATACAAAGGTGGGGAAGAAAAGAGAACCCTTCAATCATATTATCATTGTCATATTAACCCTTCGACCATATTATCATTGTCATATCTTATGTAAACTTCCACGAGGACTGATGTCTAATCCCCCAAATATCTACAGTAAAACCAGAGGCAGTGCCGGGTGCTCTTCAAGAATCCTTCAGAGGCAGTGCTAATCTTTTAATAGATCTGCAATATGATTAAAAAAGACAAAAGAAAAAGTATTAGTGTGGAAAAATGTAAACCTTCTTTAAGAAACTGAGTCAAAATATGCCATGGTGTATTCCAACGCTCTTAATTCATATCTTAAGACTCATCAGGTGCTAGATATTTTGCCATTACAAATCACACGTTACTAGAAGTAAAAGTTAACAGACTCTCCTTTTAAATCATAATAATAGAGAACATCAAGTAGGCCTAAAAACAAGTTGGAATGCACCAATTTCTGCAGTTACTTCCAATAGTCAAATTGGGACTCCAACAAAAGTACACCACTCATTCCTCCTGACTATACTGATAATCCTTCAAGCAACCATGCATCCCTTCTCTCTCACAAACAATCAACTGCAGTGTGAATTGTATTTACTAGTTACGAATATGTGCCAAGGAAATTCTTCCAATAGTCAAACCAGGGCTCCATCTAAGTGCTAACAACAAAAGTACACTACTCATTCCTCCTGACTATACTGATAATCCTTCAGGTAACGCACCCCTCTCTCTCACAAACAATCTACTACCAGAATATATCATATATCAGAGGTTTTTTTCCAAGTTAAAAACCAATTAAATCATAAAACAGCATATATACTAGGCTCCTACTTTCTTTCTCAGCTATCTGGTAGCTGGCAAATCTGCTCATCATGTAATGCATAATTGTATCTGATGATACATTTTACTAGATATACAAATTAATACGTAATACCATCAAATTATATACCATTGCTGAACCTTCCGAAACTCAGTGAGAACGGGGTATATGTTCTCAAAGGCAGCATATGTCTCATCTCTGATCTGAAAAATTAAAAAAGAAGGGACATTATATCATCTGAAATGGAAAAACTAGCACAATAGAATGAATAGATCAAAACCTACAAAATGACAAGCTTTATCTATTACCTTGGCTCCAGTGAGAACAATCTTTCCAGAGACAAAAATAAGCAGCACGATCTTTGGCTGTTTCATCCGATAGATTAATCCAGGGAACAATTCAGGTTCGTACTGTACAATGACACCATGATTCCAATAAGGGTACAATATTCTGGCCACAAGTTCTCGAAAAATAACTCAAGAAAATAACTTTTGGTTTTAGAAACTTAAATCCAATTTTTCAATCTACAACAGATAAATAATGTGAAGAAATCCAATTTTTCAATCTACAACAGATAAATAATGTGAAGAAACTCGTCATCTACTGATATCTCTATCTCCATATTTACCATTAGTAATTTTGTATCATAGGACTTCATTTACCAATTTAGCCTCTGTTTGGTTCCACTAAAAAAAGTGGATTAAAATCTAAGTCAAAAGTCAACAATTAATTTTAACCACACATTTCATGGGACCCTCAAGCTTACAACCACACATTCTATCAACTTTTATCAAAATCTATTAAAATTCTAATTTTTTATCTAAAACCAAACAGGGCTTATTGTCCCCAAATCCCAAGAAAACGAATGAAACAAAAAATAAGAAAGCGGACTTAAATGGTATATTCAAGATTCAGATATTTCAAAAAATCATATAAAATACCAATATTTTGTTATAATAACATTATCAATTGTTTGATATACCAAAAGTGGAATATGTGCAATCTCAGGAAGGCTTCCAAACATAAAAATTGACATAATTGTCATGGAAGACAAGATACAAAACTCTGAATTCAGACACCTCATGCTTCATTCTAAATAAAAGAAGAATATATGTGGCCATTACTGCAAAGCCAACAATAATTTAAACTAGAGTAATTTTGACCAGATACTTTAGGACAGACATAAAGGAGATTGATCCTCACAATTTTGTTATCCTAACATGCAACGTAAGCAAGAGAGATGGGTAAATAACAACGAACTCACACTTGAAAAGGCACCATGAGCATATGCAAGGCCTTCAAGTCGAATGGGAAATTTAACATCACAGGAACCAACTATGTTCTGAATCTTGAAATCCTAGAACCAAAAAGAATTAGTAACTTGATATTTATTAAACTGTAAAAAACTGTCTTCTTTAAAAAAAGAAGAAGAAGAAGAGAGCAATAAATGCCAATTTGTGTATTCTGCCTGTCACGGGGCGAAATATGGGGACAAATACCTTAAATTTTGCTGGGAAGCTGAGCTTTTGAATAATTCTAGCATACTGCAAATAACATGAAAAGGTACGAGAGAATTGCCAAGGAAAAAATTCACTGAATATATCTCTTTGAGATGAAATGAACAATTTTCCAGTATAATAACATGCAGCAATTTACACCTAATGAAAATATCAATTGAACGCCCCTAATGAATCATTTCGAATCCACGTATAAATGCTAAAGTGTGCCCCTCTTATGTATCATACCTTCCGAGCAGCCAATTTTGACTGTTGTTCACTCTTGGCTCCAGTACAAACCTAAAGCAGTGTACTTTTTGTGAGAAAATCATTAATATTACAGATTGAAAAATGGCACAAATTAAAAACGCTCCTAAGATATCAGAAGATTAAGCACTCACCATCTTTCCAGAAGCAAATATTAGGGCCGTTGTTTTTGGTTCTCTAATCCTCATAATCACTGCAGCAAAACGCTGAAAAGCCACGACATGTAAGATCCACCATACATTGTATTCAAAGAGAAATTAGAGAGAAAAACCCAATGCTAATAAATTTTGTAAACAAAGCTATGCCTGAATTCATTTAGATTCATTGATAATACTTCATACATTATGCTGGGAAATTTTTCACAGGACACATCTATAGCAATAATCACAAGGAACCACTAAGTAAGTCATAGGAAACATGGGTATGTATAGCTCAATTCCAGAAGTCATTATAGCTTTAGCCACAAGAGCAGTAAAACATTATCAGCTACTCTAGTTAATCAAAAATGCTTAGTCACCTAATGTAAACGTTAAAAATCAAAAGAATGTACGAATGAATCTCCAATTTAATTCTCACTCTTGATGTTGGTCATAATTTTATCTGTAGGACAAATAGATATAGACCAAGAATGGAATAATTATTTCACTTGAAAAATTTCAGGCATTAGCTAAGAAAGGTAGCTAACTGAAAGGACAGCAAACCAAGTGGAGAAAGGATGAAAGCCATTACCATAATGACAGAAGAGATTGTTATTTGGATCTTGATTGCTTTAACAATATCATACACCAGGAGAAGAACTCTTTTATAATCCAACTATGTCATGCATAATTATGACAAACAAAATATCTCATACAACCATTTTATATATCTTTGAGTCAAAATATGATCCAAAATTTTCAAAGAAAAGGAAAACTCTATAATTAAACCTCAGTTCCCCTAATGAGAAGATAACTAAAAAATCACAGAAATAATGAAAGAAGACTTATCATGGGAGTAGCATACCTTGGGATTGTATTCTGCATTGCGAGCTTGCAATGCAATAGCTTTTAGATCCAATTTGCAATCCAAATTAACTGTTGACACAATATTCCTGTTTGAAATCGCACTCTATTAGTATCCACATAGAAGAATAAAGTTCTAAGATACACACTGAACTTCTAGAATGAGACGGTTGCATTCGCATAGTTCAGTGCACTCTTTTTCACAGCATTTTTTTGAAACTCGGGAAAATAAGAGAGGGGGGAGCAAACGTAGTAATTATCATTCACATCCAGTTATACCAATAAATTCATGTCAAAGGTAGTACCAAATCAGTAAACTAAAAGCTGCCCCCTACAAACTGACATGCAAAAGAGGATTAAGTAACATCCTTAGCATAGAGTAGGGTTACATCCAGATTTTTGCCTAAAAATGAGGAGCACCCCATCCGCTGCTCATTTTGAATGTTTTGTTTGAGTGTACATATATAACTTCAATTCAATTACATGGGTGTGGAAATGTAAATTAAGCAATTATTACTTATCCTGGGATTCATAGCCCAAAATCATTCATTGGAGTTAAAAAAAAGAAATAAGAGAGCGAACAGGAATGACAGAAATTTTACTGGAGAGTAGGCACAATTCCAGAAGGGTGCTTGGAAAGATCAACCGGTTGGCTCCCTTCCAACCTCTGAGTATCAGCCATCAGAACTCTTTTATCCTGATCCTCGTCCTCCGAGCAATATATACCACCTATCAAGAATCCCTTTAGAAAAATAATCAGGAGTCCATGACAGGTCAAGAAAGAATCACAAAAAATAATTATTTTTCCTCAACCCATTATTTCATTTGGTTTATCTTCCCTGCACTTAATTGTTTCATTTAGGTTGGAGACAAAAAAAATTCATTCTTTCGAAGAACTCGTACAATTGAAGGATCTAGGGTTTCCATATCTTGTTCTGTTTGAAATTTAATTACAGAGATTGAGAAGCAGAGTTGTAGAGGAATACCAAGAGGAAGGGAGAATTAAAGCGGCAATAATTTGAAAGGAAGAGTATTTTATACAGATGATGTCGAAATTTATAGAGTTCGTGAACGAGAGGAAGGATAGATCTGTTGCTAATGGATGTGAAGCCGCGTCAAGGGATGATATCAATCTGAGCCCTCTTTTATCCGATGCCCAAACTAACCTCTCTTTCAATTTCAGCCAAAGAGGAGTCAAGGGTAAATTGGTAATAATGTATTTAGTGAGGCATTTGTTTCAATTTAGGGTGTGTTTGATCCAAATTATTTTGGAAGAATTATTCT